GCAGGCCTCCCCGGAGTGGCTGGTGCCCAGGAATGGGGTCCGGGCTGCCTTAATGGTTTTTCTACTCAATTGTCAACATCAAAATAACCTATATTATTTTTGTCTCTATCATATTTAGTGATCACAATTAAATAAGTATTTATAAATCATTTATAACCTATCAAATGATTATGAGAGTTTAGCTTTAAATTTTGACAATAGCTTGTTGCTGATGTTTTTAATTTGTTTTTAGTAATACATGTGCTATGTAGTCTTCCAAATCCAATGGATAACTTTCATACCTATTAATTAAAGGAAATAAACTTAATAAATATACTGAGATCAGTGACCTTCTATATTAGATAGGTTACATTTTCCTATCTGAATAGTATTGCTGCTTATTTTCTAATACAGAAGAAAGAAGTTTTTATACCAAGTACAAAGGTGAGAAAATAGACATCTGAATGTCCACATTTAGGGATGTTGACTTTTGATAGGTAGCTTCACTATTTAGATTTGAAGTGCAGATATAACCATTACTAATTTGAGAGTAGTCTAGAGGAAGAAGGTCCTGATTATAAAGTAGTAGGATTATAAAACTGGAAAATAAAAGAAATATAGCTATATATATATATTTAAAATACATATTGAAGTAAAAATTAAATAGAATAAACTAATAGGAGGTATTGTGATCTCTTCCTTCAACAGTTAAGAATGCAAATATGATTTTAATTAGCATATCTGTACAAAGAAATACATACTTGGAAGCTACTTAACAAGATTTGAAAAGCAGTCTAAATATTTTTTATAAAGTCTTATTTATATTATCCAGTTAGTAAATCACTTAAAAATATGAATGTAAAAATTAGCCAAGTCTAATAATTTTATAAGACGCAAATAAATTGAATCTGCAGTAATCATGTTGTATCATTAGTTCTCAGAATATTGGCCATACTAATTTCAAGAAAAGTTCAAGATTAAATCTCAAAAAAATAATTCTGAAATTTTACATTGATTCTATTATATGAATTAAAAATTCATAATTATATAATTTACGTATCTTCCCATGTTTTCACACTCAGTTCAGCAACTTTTTATGTCTTGTCTTCTTAGCTTATTTTCTCTATTATATTCTACATAATACATAATTTTTGTGTCATCATGTTGCTTCTCTTTTTATATGTAATACGAGTCTTAGAACGTCTTATTAAATAAAAAACACAGAGCCAAATATTGGGGTGAAAGCCTTAGATCAGGGAAATAGGGAAAGCTACGAGCCAAACTTACCTCACCAAATCTGCAGCTTCCAAATGCTCCGACTTCCTGTCTACCCAGGCTTTATATGCCTTGCTTTTCTGCCCTCTTATTGGCTCTCTTAACCCAGCTACCTCACTTCCTCTTCCTACACAGCTCTGTCACTTTTTGTCTGTCTGTATAGACTTCCAGGTCTCTATGGTTGGTACTGGGATTAAAAACGTGTGCCACCATGCTTGGCTCTGTTCTCTAGTGTGGCCTTGAACACGCAGAGATCTGCCTGCTAAGGGATTAAGGGCGTGTGCTGCCTGACTTTTGTGTTTACTATAGTGGCTGGCTTTCCTCTGATCTCTAGGTAAGCTTTATTTTATTAATGCACTAATAAAATATCACCACATTTCTCCTTTTTTGTCTAATAAAAATTAAAAAATAAAAAAGTTATAACTAATATAAGAAAAACTATATACAATAATTACAATAACTATGTACAATGTATGCAAGCAATAAATACATCAAAAATGTCTAGTCCATTTGCATTTGAAAAATTCAGAGAAAATATTCCATTACCTATCCTATTTTGGTGAGTCCAAAATGTATCTATATTAACTTATATTACCATTAGAAAACTATCTTATGATGTCTTTCAAACTTATACACTTAATAACTCTTAGTTTTTTTCTGAATTTATTAACATTGTTACTACAACTATCTAATCTTCAACTCCCTCAGAGAACCAAGAAGGAAATAATATTACCTAGTAAAACAGGAAGTGCAAACAAGCAACTTCCGGACTTCCAAAAAAATGTGAGTTGACAGAAACAGCCAGCTGCCTGGACAGTCACCCGAGGTTTCTCTGCACATTGGGATATCATCTTTGGCCTACAGACTTAGCTTATCTGACAGACTCATTTTTGAAGTAGGATGCACACAAGGCCCACAACTCCACCTCACATTCAGTGCAAGTATTCCATGTACCAGATAAACTTGAATTCTGCCAGTGTCCTGTTATGATTTAGGATTTAAAATTTGGAAATTGCTGGTGTTTTTGGAATTCGGCTGCCCATTCTTCTAGGATTTTGGGTGGCTTCATCTCCTTTATTAAATGTCAGTCTGCCATTGAGAGGTTAGACTCCATCAGTCTAGTTACTCTTTCAAGAATAACTGTTTCAGTTACTGTTCTACTGCATACCAGAAGCCATCAGTCCACTGCCTGTTCAGCTGCCTTTGAAGAAAGGGGCACTGAACCTTTTCTGGATTGTTCTGGCCTCAGAGGACACCTGTTGCCAAAGCTGCAACCACACTTGTCTTAGCAAGGATTGGTAGTCCTTTGTTTTGTGTCCTGTCTGTCCATTTTGTCCTGTTTGTCAGCAGTGAATTTGAGGACACTTTGTTGTCCAGTGGCTAACTTTTGCCACAATGAAAGTTAACTCCATATGCAGTTTCTTTAATGTCCATATCTTCTCTGAAGTAGATTGGTGCTGCCAGGAGCAGACATGCTTCATAATCATAAAAAGGAAAAAAATTATGTTATTAAAATATTTTAAATGCCATATTCTGTAGATCTCTGAATGGTTTGAAGATGATCTATCTAAAATATATCTCTGCTTGACCTTGAAAACATACCTAATATGACTACAAGTTCAATTGTAATGTCTAACTACAAACTTTCATTTTTTTATATCCTATAGTTGGTAATAATAACATTCAAGGATTAGCAAAGTACATTACATTGTTAAATGAACTGTCTAAGTACAATATCCTGAACAAGATTAGAAATATACATACAGCATTTTAAACAATATCAATCTTAATATATATAATTTGTATACAACATATAAAAATCCAATCCAATGTAAAGTATTTAAAACTAGTAGTTATCTTTTAAAAGTAGATTCAGTAATCTACCATTTTATCTATTTCATATATGTATCCTCTCTTTTTTCTTTTCAGAATGGATTCAATAATCTACCCTTTATTCTATAGCTTTTTTTTTCAGAGTGGATTCAATAATCTACATCTTAACTATATCCTCTTTTTTCTTTTCTTTTTTTTCAAACAAGAACCTTAAATCTAATCTCCTTTGTTCAGCCTCTTTCATGACCATTAATAATAACAACTTGTAACCAACCATCCTAAACAATGACAACTATCCCAAACCCAAAACCCATTGAAAGACCAAAAACCACCCACTCCACCTCTTGGGAATATGGGGGTTATGTTCTTAAAATTACTTCTTGTTTATATATAGATCAAAGATATGACAGCAACACTTCAGTAATAGCATATGTAAGAAATTTTAGAACTTTTTCAATATTATTATGAAGCAGTTTAAGATATAACTTTCTGAAATAGTTCATTTTTGTTAGTTAACTGTAGTTTTCTGTTTTTTTAAAGACTCAAGATTGTATATTCTCTATTATATTTAAACAGATAAAATTATATTTACCTTATACTTGTGGTATAAACACAGTGTGTAACTAAGGTAATTATTGTTAATTAACTACAAAAACTCATAGTTTATAATTCCAAGTATCAGTGGAGTCCCAATCAGAAAAGTACATTTTTATCTCAATTCAATTAAGCCTTACACATTTAATAGATTATAAATCTGACTTCATTCATAATTTGATTTTACATGCATATTTGACAATTCTTTTTTTTTCATTTTTCCAGACTGGGTTTCTCTGTGTAGCTTTGCAGCCTTTCCTGGAACTCACTCTGTAGCCCAGGCTGGCCTCGAACTCACAGTGATCGGTCTGCCTCTGCCTCCTGAGTGCTAGGATTAAAGGCGTGCACCATCATTGTCCGGCCTTGGCAGTTCTTTTTTAAATTAAATTTTGTATTTAAGTATTTTTCTAAGCACCTACTAAAATATGACCCTCCTAAATTTGTCAAACTAAAATTGCTATAGTTATGATTCTTGGAATGGAAATTGCAAAAGTTTCAATTATAATGAAAAAATGCAAACAATTTTGCTTTAACAAGGGCAAGTTTCCTCAACACCTCTTTTCTTCCACAGATTTGGATTATAATTTTCTTTCATACGGAGAAATTTTTGAAAGTGCAGAAATCAATGGAGAGAGGTTACTAAACATCACCAGGAAGCAGCTTAATGAACTTGGCATAGTCCGCACTGACCATCAGGATATACTGCTAAAAGCAGTTGCTCGTATTCATCAAAAGGTGAGTTGAGGGGTTTCTCTCTGCATTGCTAGTCGTTCTACTTAAAAAAGAGAGATGAGCCGGGCAGTGGTGGCGCATGCCTTTAATTCCAGCACTCGGGAGGCAGAGAAGGTGGATCTCTGTGAGTTTGAGGCCAGCTTGGGCTACCAAGTGAGTTCCAGGAAAGGCGCAAAGCTACACAGGGAAACCCTGTCTCAAAAAACCAAAGAGAGAGAGAGAGAGAGAGAGAGAGAGAGAGAGAGAGAGAGAGAGAGAGAGAGAGAGAGAGAGAGATGAGTTAGAAGCAAGAATATACATTGCTGTCTGCTGCATGGTCTAAAATAAATCTCCATTTTGTATCTTTCCAGTTATGATTTCCATGGACTTTGACTTTTGTGTTTAAGTGTTCTGGTGACAGTTTCCTTCTTGTATTTGAATTATACCTCTGTTTGAAGTAATTGTTGCTTTCTTAGTTTTTTTTTTTAATTCCATACATACACACAGTGCATCTTGATCATATTAATCTCTTGCTCCTTCGCTCTAGTTCCTCCCACCCTTCTCCCCCAAATCTTTCATCTCCTCCCATCTTCATGCCTTTTTATTTATAACCCATTAATTGTAGTTACTTCTGACCATATGCACATGTATGTTGAGTTATCCATTGTGGCATGAACAACCAAGCAATGACCACACTCTCCCAAAGAAAAGTGTCTGTCCATCCCTCAGCATCCATCAAGTGCTATTAGCTCCTTAATTGGGAATGTGACATTATGAACCCTTTGCCCCTCTATGCTGATCTCTTAATATTGTGGATATCTTGTGCAGGTAACCATTGCTCTTGTGAATACACGTGTATGTCAGTCATGTCATATCCAGAGGCTAGACTTTCACAAAATTTCCTTGCCTCCCCTGACTCTTGCATTCTTTCTGCCTCTCTTTGATGGTGTTCCCAGAGCCTTTAGAGCAGGTTAATATAGATGTTTCACCAACAGCTGAGAATTTCATAGTTAATTATTCTCAATATTTTGCATAGTTATAAATCTGTGTATTAACCACAACCCTCCACAATAAAAACTTCTGAGCAGGGTTGAGAACAGAATAAATGTATGGATATGAACATAAATATTTAGAACGGTGTTTGACATCATGGCTCTACTAAAACATCAATAGGCTTCCCTTAGAAACTGTGGTTTGCTTAGTCACACCTTTAGAACATTTTTTTTTATAGTACCAGACATGATTTTTTTTTCCACAGACCAGACATCAAATAAAATCAAGAGAGCAGCTGGTTACCTCTGTAATAACGGTTTCCACTATAGAACCAGTGGAGATGTCTTAATTGGAAGGTTGTTGATGTAGCCTAGAGTGTCCAGTGTTGGATAAGACCATCGATGTTTTTCTACCCCAGAAGCTCCAAATAGCACTTCCCAGTACTATGAAAACTAGCCATCAAGGAGATAGATTTCTGTTCAGTTCAATATTGCTATCTCTGTTCTGCAACCAAAGTGTGGTATGTCTTTAGTAATAGAGTCTTACCAACTAGTTGTGACGGTAACCAAGAGCAATATCAATAGACCCTCTGAGGTTTCAGAGACCAATAACTGAAAGGAAGGGAAATTTTGCTTGGCCCTGAGATTTTCACTTAATAAACCATGCCTTCTAGGAGCATCATTTTTCATCCATATGGGACACCTCTGTTCAAATTGCAGAATTGCACATGATGCTGTAGATATCTGTTTCCTTGCCTAGAATTAGAATTACCATTTTATAATGATAACCAACCTGAATCTTCAAAAACTGGTGTATACGGGCAAACTTAGTACTTTTTTAAAAAGATTAAAACTGAATATTTTACTAATAAAGAACTTTATTCATAGCAAAATATATTTGTCCATCAGCAAGTATTTATTGAGGACCTTTATTGGAGTAATTTAAATGATTCCCCAAGTTTTTATTGAACAGGTTTAAGAATACTTCGATTTTAATAGGTCAAATTCTAAATAGATTTGAATATGCCATCACTTTTGGGTGAATTTTATTCTTCTTAAATATAAACTTACTTTCTCAATAATTTTCTCCATATTCTAGTTAGAATATATGAATTCAGTATTACGTATAAATTACTTACATGTTGTATCTCATTTAATTAGATATTCAACAGTGACTACTCACCAGAAAATATCATGTGCATCCTTGCATGAGGCCTCAATGAAATGATTTAGTCAATAATAGAGGTCTTCATTATACTTTATACAGAGTTCCACTAACACTACTTTTTTCATGTAAAATTTATAGTGGAGACTATTCATTATATTAACAGTATAAGTTCTTGTTTAAATACCATTTTAAAATATTTTCTCATGACAAATATTATTAGTTTTTCTAATGTAACTAACAATTATCTAATATATCCTACTAGTGAAATTCTGTGGTTCCTTAGCCTCAAACTGAACTTAATGACTAGGTTACTAAGTTACTCACCCTAGCATTGTGTTTATGTTTGATAAAGGGCAAAAGACATTTTTCCTTCAACTTTATTGAACTATTCAGTATCATGGACATTAATAATTTCATGATTTCTAAATATTTCATGCTTGTGTATTTATCTTGTCAGAGGTTTGTCTTAGTAAACTTACTTTGTATGGCTGTCCAATAGTGTAGGCCAAATTTTATTGAACTTAAAGTACTATCATTGAAATAAAATTTTACCATTGTTTAGTATTGTTATTAATTTACCACTAAAAAGAAAAATATTATTTACATTGCTTCAGTGCTTTATTACTACACAAAGAAGAAATAATATACTGTTTTAAAAGATTTTTAAAATATGTTTGGTATGGTCACATACACTCATAATCTCACAATTGTGAGAATAGGGTAAGAGGATGGAGAGTTCAAGGCCAGTCATTTCTACATAACAAGTTTTAGGCCAACCTGGCATATATCTATTCTCAAAAAACCAAGAAAATTAATAAATAATAAAAACAAAGTCTAAAACACCCTGCCTTTCCAATTTGTGGAAAATGGAATCCTTGAAGTCTCTATTTATGTAACCTGAAGGACTGTCTTTAATAATATTTTGGACAATTGAACTATAAAGGTACACATTTCCCTAGGGGTCATAGAAAAATGAATTTTTATGTAGCTGATTGAGCATTGACTTATGGTAAGACTATTTTTGACTCAAATTTTGAAAATGAACCAAGAACTGTAGCTCGAGTTTTCCTGCCTTGCCCACAGTCAGAACAAATCTTTGTCTCCCGCCAGTCCCACAGCCGCTCAGACCCAACCAAGT